TGTATTTTTTAGATATCAATACTGTAAATTTAAATTTAATTTTTTGAATTTAAAATCACAGAGATTTTACAACGTAATATTGTTATTTTCCAAAACATATTTGGGAATTTGGTACCCCCACCCGTATAAATTGTGGCGTCTCTTCTGTGTCTTATTAAACGGTAACATTCCAACAGAACGCGACGTTTTTCGGTTTATAACCTCCTAAAATATTTTGAATCCAAAGTTTTTTATTGTGATTATAGCGAGTTGTGTTAATACCTACCAAATTAAAGGTAAGTAAACATTTTTGTATGTATAACTGCAATGTAAACATCAAATCATTAAAAAATTATATTTTGTTCTCTTCTAATTCCATATTTTGGCATTTTCAAAAACTCACAGGGACAAGTATACATTTTTTATAAGTACCAATTAAAGGAAAAGTCATCAAAAATCCTTAAAACAATAAAGTATGACAAGGAAAAGGATATTCTTGTTAGATTGTCTGAACATTTTGAAGAGGATATTAATTTATTCTATGTAGAGAATGAGGTAAGAAATATTACATTTCTTAAACCTAAATCTTAAGATGTTAATAATTTTTTTTATTGGTTATTAAAAAACCATTTTTTTTAGACAATCGATATTAATTAATAATAATAATTAAAGATAAGCTTCCTCTAAGCCCATTTCTCTTAAAATGTGGTAAGTTCAAATATAATAAAAATTTTATTAATATAAATTATAAAATATATAAAATTATTTAAAAAAACTTTATAATTTTTTTTTATTTTTTAGAAACTACCGGATACCACGTATTTGTAGAACGTGAAATTGTCAACATGGAAGGCTACAATAATCTTTTGATGGGGTTTAAAGTTGCCTTTGCTAGATATTTTCTCAAAATTCATCCCGACCAAGGCAACAAAACAAAAAAAGTTAGCTCATCGAAAAAAAAGGTATTCACTCTAATGAAAATAATTAAAAATAATTATATTTTTGTTGTTAAATAATATTAAATGTGCTGATAAGTCTTTAAAACAAACTTAAATGTATATTTTTATTTTATTTTTTATTTTTAAATGCGATGGTAAACATATAAGACAAATTTTAATGTTAAAAATATATATATATATACATATATTAAATATAAATATATAAATAAATATAAATATTAGGTATTAATATTATTATTATAAAGATTTTTTTAAGTTTTCAAATATTATTTTACTAGCTGTTTCTATATTAAACCTTTGTTAAAAATCGTACACATTGTTTTATTTACTAGAATACATACCTACTTTTATGATATTATTTAATTTAATTTGCTAATAATTGGGAAATATATATTTTTTGATTTGTGACATTTTTGCAGTAAATGAGTAAATTCTACTAATGTTTACTAAATTCATTTAATAATAATTCTAACAAAATTAGATTCCTTTTTTAATAGATAATAGTCTTTTTCTCGAATCACCTTTGAACCAGTTCGGAACCAATTCGTAACTATTAAATAACATGCCTAGTCGCTATAAAGACTGCGCATGCAAAATAGTTCTGATTTGTTTCCGAACTGGTTCAAAGGTAATCCGCGAGTTATTGTTATATTAAAAAAAAATCGTTTTTATTTCTGAAACTTAAAAAGTAAAACTTGTAAAATTAAGGATTCTGTTAATAAAAAAATACATAATATATTATGTAAATTAATTTTTACAATTTTTTTGAAATATTATATTACAAAAACAATAAAATTTCCATTTTTATTTCTGAAATTTACAATATAAAATTTGTAAAATTATGGTTTTAATTAATTAAAAAAAATACATAATATATTATGTAAATTAATTTTTACAATTTTTTTGTAATTTTCCCGAATATGTTATGGCCACAAAATTACCAACGATACGTTGTGTAAATTTACAAATCCGTTTTATCAGTGTACATAATTTTTTAACCTTTAACTTCAGTAGTTATATTTAAAAAACTCATTAGAGAACCTGCACAGTCATTTAAATTCAATAAAGAGTAAGAAAGTGATCTAAAATTAACATTTCCTCCAAAGTATTTTTAATGATTTTGAACGGAAGTCAAAGTTTTGACCCCAATGCCTTTTTCGTTCGAGGTCACAGACAAGCCATCGCTGCAGTCTCCCCTTTACGGATTTCAAACCGAAATAATTCTAATTATTGGTTATTTACTTGACCTTGAAAATGTCCCTTGAGTGTTTGTTAAACTAAACCAAAACTAATCGCCGAGAAACACAATTTGATACTGCCACATTTCGTAGAAGAAAATATTGTGCGTCTTGTTGACACAACTAAACAAATACTGCAATTTGTTGTCGAGATAAATAAGAACTGATTGAAGCATTCAAAAGAGCGCGTCTTGATTAGTAAACCCTACAAATATGATCAAAATTACACCAATAATAACAAAGTTTACAGATTATTTTAATTTATAATTTAACTCTCCTAAAAATTTTCAGGGTACCTACACCAACAAAACACGCCCCTTCAAATGACATACTAACCATAGTTGCCTAATTTACCCCAGCGAAAGTGTATTGAACTGCTAAAATTAATTATAATTATGACCACTTTTTTGCAAGTGGTAGTATTACGCCCATTTATAAAAGTTGGTCGTTTCTTGATTGAAACTTGTCATCACTGACCTTGGATCTTAAGTTGTTCACTTGTTTTACCTCTTTCTTTTTCAATCTTGCCTGAGACGGCCACTGAATGCTAAACATATGTTTAACTGACTACTGGAGTTTACTTGCCCGTATCTTTAAAAATGTTTATTTTACAGAAAAATGTTATTAATGAAAAATGTGTATAGGTAATTTAATTCTCCATAAAAAGTGTTATTACAAGTTTCATCATACAATTGCTGTAAAACACGATAATTAACGAAATACATTTCTAGTTTGTTTATTTTTGTGTGTAAGTGTTGATTGGTATTCTACCTCTGAATTGACAGATTTAAATCAGATCTGAACACTAAATTTACAGGTCATTTACCTCCAATAAAATCGAAGGGTTAAAGTAAATTTTGTCCTTGAACGTACACCTGACAACCTGTTTGAAAAGAAATTTGCCATTTTTAGATAAAATAAGAATCCCAGGTGTTTTGTGTTGGAATTTCTATGTGGACATGCCTATCTATTTAGGATTCATGCCACTCTTTTGCTGATTTTACTATGCTTTCTCTTACTTTTTGATTTATGTGGCAACGAGACATTCCATACATGAGTTGCATGGTTTAAATACATTTTTCACAAAACATAACCGTCTAAAACCTACTTAATTAACTAGGAAGTGGACAACAAAAACCAGTGGTGGCCCGTTTTTATTAAGCAGCAAGTCGTATTAAGTTTCATTAAGGTTATAACCTATAGGTTTTCAAAATACCGGTAAGTAATGACATTATTCGCTAAAGAAATATCGCTAGTAGCGCCACCACTCGGCTGTTATCATCGTAACAAAAGTACAACTTTTAATAATCAGCTGTCAAACGCGTGTGTTACAAACGAGTGTTTTTAAGAATAAAGCCGGAAAATGTTAAAAAAATATCGAAAAAAAACCGTGGCACGATTTGTTGTGTTGTTGGGTGTATTTCGAGAGGAAATCCAGGGTTGAGTTTTTACCGGTTTTCCAATAAACAGTGTTAATCTGAATGAAGAAATAAATTGCATACAGTCTCTGTAAATATAAATTGTACCTATTAGATACAATAAATACACATTTTAGTAGTGATTAACGTGAAGAGTGTAAACATTTCAATTCAGTAAAAATCGCCAAACAAATAAGTCGTCTAAATTTAAACAGCATTTAGCATTATTAAAAGCGTTGATTAAGAAAGTCTCCACTCAACGGTAAAATAACATTATATTATGTATTATGTATAATATTATGTTGCCATGAATTTGTAGGTATATTTTGTTGTTTAAAATGCAGTTGTCGGCGTTTTTTAGAGAACTCAAATATAAAAATGGTTGATTTTGAGGTTATGTTTGTGCAAAAATTATTTTTTACTAATTTCTTAAAAATGTCCAAACTTAAATATAAATTATATTAGGTAAAGTTATCATTAGTTAATTCTGCACCAACAAATGTAGGTACATACCGAATTGGATGCTTTGGCAAAACATGAAAATGCAACGATTTAGTTCTTGAATTTTATTTACAATTAAAAACACAATAATTCACCATGGTTCCTTAGATAAAATACACACACTAACGTTACTATATAAGCATTTAAGCGTTGAGTTTCTTAATCAATGATATAAAGAATAGGTAATCAATCGAAATCGAGTACTAAAAAAGTTTTTTCCTTGCAACGTACTTACCTAAACACAAATAACGTGCGCGATTTAGCTGTGCAATTAAACAAAATTTTAAAGTTTAAAAATACGAATTTATGTTTTTGAGTTTGATATTTTCTTTGTTTTGTTTTTTGTATTTAAACAAAATGAACACAACTTGTTGCTGAATTTTAAAAGCATTAAACTGAGATCTGGGTTACACTGCCAAATGCTGCACCTAATTCGACATGTAACTGTGTCAACACAGGTTGTTTACATAATTTTACTCGAGACTTTGTGTCACATTCAATACTTAACTTTTGTTGCATTGAAATAGACGTATAGTATACCTTTCTAAAATCGCGAAACGACAATCTACGATTTGGAGGTTAAAGTTGAAAATGTAGGTAGTTAATATTTTATATACATTGAAAAAAACGCGTTTTGTTTAGTAGGTATACCCTAAAAATTGTGGGGAACAAAGGCAATCTTTTGTACCCATATTAAAACCATTGATTGACTCAACGTTAAAACAATTACCTATGTACAGTATTTCTCATTGTCTTTCAAAGAATTTCTCGAACAATTCCTAAAATGCACCCAAACGGCTACCTACCAAGCGTAACATGACTCATACGTTTATACTTAAGTGCGAAGCTTTGTTAGAACTGACTTAACAATAAAGCAATTTTTAATTCTTGTTTTTTTTTCACAGGAAAGGGGATGGGAGTACAAACAAGTATGCGTGACCAGGGTTCCGGGTTACGGTTTTGGTATCGCCGTTTCAGGAGGACGAGATAACCCCCATTTCGCGTCTGGGGACCCTAGCATCGCTGTTAGTGATGTTTTAGCTTCTGGACCTGCAGAAAGACTTTTGCAGTAAGTAGCCAGAGCTATCTATCCCAGGCTGGGATTCCCAGCAAACACATGAGTCTCTTGATTGTTGAGTTTTCCTTGTTGAAATTATATGTTTTTGATACCAACGGTAGGTAAATCACAGATGTTCATATTGAGGTTATGTATAGATTTTAAACAACATAATGTTGATAAAAAATCGTAGTTATTGTTAAACGAAAATAATAAATATGTCTATTATCATTAGCGACGGTTTGGAACAAAATAAAAATACGGAAGCAAATAATTACCTTATTATTGCACCGCAAAATCACTTTATGAAACACAACGTATTCTTTTTACTTTGTATCGCTGTAACTGACCAATTCCCGCGTTATTAGGACAAATTTTACTGCTGGGATAGTATGATCAATTTAATTTTCCACTAAATGCGTAAGGAATATGCGTTAAGGAATAACAATTTCAGGACCGAAATTTAAAAAAATAGTTATTTATGTATCAAGGCAGTAAAGTCGAATTTTTTATCACGAATGTGGAAATTATTTGCCGAGGCAAATAACCACGTGAGTGATAAAATAGTATATTATGTATCAAGTTTGATAAACGCCATTTTATACACGAATTTAATTTAGGCACGAGCGAGTGCTTAAATTAATGAATGTATAGAAAAGTTTATAAACGAGGTGCATACTATACTTTTTCTACGAAAAATACTTATTATTATCTTAAAATGATTTAAATCAAAAATTTGTGTAGAGCGCCATCTATGAAACAATAGGATAATCTTTTATATTATAAACACAATTATAAAGGTTATAAATCGAAATGTATTTCTTGAAAATTGACAGTTTTTCAGTGAGAGTAAAGAAAATGTTTTATGAGGACTTTACAGTGGAGTCCGTGCCCGAATTTAAGTTATAGTTTACTGCCGGCGAAATTAAAAGTTTTAAGTTAGTTGACAATTGAAAGTTTTAAGTTAGTTGACAGTTGTCAAATGTCATACAAGTTAAAACTAACTTCAGCCATATAAAGCCACAACTTGTCAATGTGTATTTAAAAGGTCACTTAGTGTCATGGCAAAGATTAAATATACTATAGAGTATATTTAATCTTTGGTCATGGATAAAGGGCGTTTTAAAGGTGGGAGTAGAAAAAATAATTTAACCCAGATTATTATAAATACTTCTCTGTTGGATAGTATGGGTTTAATAAATATACATAAATTTATTTTAGTAAATGCTTTTAATTTTATTTAAACATAATATAGCTAATAAAGTAAAACACAGAACGCATATTACATATAATAAAGGATTTACAAAAGTAATACAAAGTTTGTTAAAAGTTATAAATACACTGTGTTATAACATTTGATAAAAATATCTGGGTTGATACCATGAAAAATGGATACAGTAAACAAAAATACAAAAATTATTAAAATAAAAACATAACATCTCTAAAACTGAACTTAATATGAAAAACACATATTCATTTTTTTGTAGCATTTGCATAATATGCAAAGAACTAACAAATGAATGTCCCACATGTAAGGAAGGGTGGACCAGTTCAAGGTGTTACTTTATAGAAAATTTAACTTTAAAAATCAAGTATCCATGTAAATATAGTAAATTGGGATGCAACGAAATTGCCATTGAAAGTCAATTAAGGAAACATGAAGAAACATGTCCTTTACATATCTATCAATGTCCAATGGATTGCTCTGAAACTGGATTTTCAGTCTTTAAATGTTTCAAAATAAATTCAAAGTTTCGAAACTTTGAATTTATTTTGAAACATTTAAAGACTGAACATGGGCATGCGGAATTAACTGGAGAAATAAAAGAAGTATCTAAATACTGCTATTACCTTAAATGGATGTTGTTTGATTTAAAATTATTTAGAATATCGATATAGGATATTGATGAAAATAATTCAAACAGTCTGATATTTTTTGTAACGGTCGCTGCGTTCTTTCTTTAAAGCAAGTGGAATCTTTTACTAATGTCCATTCTAATATTAGGATGGACATTAGTAAAAGATTCCACTTGCTTTAAAGAAAGAACGCAGCATATGCCTCTTCATGATTTAAAATTTTAACTTTATAAGTAGGTATACAATTTGGGGTTTTCATTGGAACAAACCAATTCGACGGCCCAATAGACATTGGAAGACGAAAAATAATACGATCGTTTTACTTTTCGTCTTCCAATGTCTATTGGGCCGTCGAGTTGGTTTGTTCCAATGAAAACCCCAAATTGTATACTTATAAAGTTAAAATTTTAAATCATGAAGAGGCATATGCTGCGTTCTTTCTTTAAAGCAAGTGGAATCTTTTACTAATGTCCATCCTAATATTAGAATGGACATTAGTAAAAGATTCCACTTGCTTTAAAGAAAGAACGCAGCGACCTCTACAAAAAATATCAGACTGTTTGAATTATTTTCATCAATATCCTATATCGATATTCTAAATAATTTTAAATCAAACAACATCCATTTAAGGTAATAGCAGTATTTAGATACTTCTTTTATCTCTCCAGTAAATTCCGCATGCCCACGTTCAGTCTTTAAATGTTTCAAAATAAATTCAAAGTTTCGAAACTTTGAATTTATTTTGAAACATTTAAAGACTGAACATCCAGTTTCAGAGCAATCCATTGGACATTGATAGATAGGTATGTAAAGGACATGTTTCTTCATGTTTCCTTAATTGACTTTCAATGGCAATTTCGTTGCATCCCAATTTACTATATTTACAAGGATACTTGATTTTTTAAATTAAATTTTCTATAAAGTAACACCTTGAACTGGTCCACCCTTCCTTACATGTGGGACATTAATTTGTTAGTTCTTTGCATATTATGCAAATGCTATGTCCGTTGGAGCAATTATAAATTGGCGGTCGCATGGTATTCATACAGACTGGACATTCCAATAGTTTTAATGTATTATTGTCGATCTCTGCCGGTATTAATTTAAATTCGTTTGAAATCATATTTTTTTCGTCTGCAAAATGTTTCAACAGATCGATGTCAACCACAGTCGCGTTGGGGTTTTCATCCAGGTTTTCTTCGTTATAAATGCCATTCAGTTTTGTAAGTGTACCTACTGTTTTTAATACTGAATGGTTTGGTGGTTGAATACGTTTGTGCTCCACCGAGTATTCCATATTTTTTTCGGATTTTTCAAACGGATTTAAAGCGTAATAAAATTTATCACCAACAACTGAAGTCTTTAAAAGGCAATTTTGGTATTCATCAGATAATAACTTTACGTTGAAAGGTTCAGACAAGGACGACTCAACTTTAAAAATATTATTTTCACTTTTAACGACGTGGTTTTGATGATTTTCCAATAAATGTCCGCTCACTTCAAAATTGCTTCCACTCCAATCACAACCCTCCAGATTCTTCATCGGGCACGGTTTAGTTTTGAAATCGCAAGTAGCAATGTGGTTGGAGTACTTTTTGGACTCCAACCTCTTACCGCAACCACTGGACTGATATTTGCACGGCAAAATGAGCTTGGCCATAATTAGGATGAGGGCTGTGTTTAATTCAGCCCTGGACTTCATTTCCTCCCCACACTTTTCTTCGAAACAGTTCGCACACAAATTTCCTTTACCTTTGACCAGGAAAACATCGGACGTGCAAAGTTCATCGCAAATCTGGCAGTGGAATATTTTTTCTTTCAAAAGATCATCCGTAAACTGATCATCGTTTTGGTGGGCATATCGTCTGCAAATAAAATGTTATTTAGAAAAACTCACTTGGTTAATAATAATTGTGGGCATATAATAGAACACGCAAAATGTTGTTTTAAGTTTTTGGACTTTTATTCTCTTAGAGAAAACAAATCTTAATAGTTTTCTCTAAATTAGCCAACTTTGTCCTCCAAAATCATTAGGTATGTAGAGGGATAAATAAAAATTTGATATTTTCAGGAAATGTAGTCCCAACCTCTATTTTTTCTTGTTCTGTTATTTTTACCTCTATGGGATATAATTTTTTAAATGCTTGTTTTGGAAGAACATATTGGTCCAAAATGAAAACACACTTTCTATAGTCGATAAAATCACACCACAACCATCTAAACTTTTACAATAGGAAAAAGTTGTAGTTCAACAAGAAAGATTATAAAAATGACACAGCTTTGCATTTTAGATTTGTATATCTCGAAAGGTTGAAATCCAAACATTTAAAAGGAAGCGTTTTTTCTATTTGATACCTAAAGGATCTTCCTCAATTTTTTTTATTAAAATCTTAAACCATACAGCACACTGATTGGACGTTTTCATATGGAATGACTCTATATACAAGCTGCAATACTTACATCTCAAAATTTAAACATAAATTTGCAAAAAACAATTTGATAGCTTTTGAAAGCCATATATGACATGTCCAAGTATGGGATGATTCAACAAAACTGTCACTGTCATTCTCCATAGCCTATGGATGGACCATATATGGTCGCAACCTTAGTTCTTCATACAGGAAAAATATTGGAAATTGCAATGTTTTTTAAAAAAATCCATATTTTCCACAAAAATAAATATATCGAGGTGAACCAAAAACAAAACTGTTAAGAATAGATGTGACTTGATAAATAAAACTTAATTTAGAACAATATATGGTTTTGCCACTCTACAGAGTGTCTTAAACTTATAGTAAAAAACATATTTTTGTTTAAACCTGTATATTATAAACGTACGTCTATTTTTTAGTATTTTTTTAAAATGTGAGCGATTGTCCATTAATTTATCTACAATATTCTTTAATATTCGTTTAAATCTGACATTAAATAAAAAAGTTATTTACAATTGAAATTCATCGAAAATTTGTGTGGATCGATTATTTTGCACGTGAGTGTATTATATGTTATAGGTACTATTCTTGCTGGAATTTAATTTTATTACTACAGCAAAAAAATTGTTTAAGTTTTTTATCTAAAAAACATTAAATTGAATTGAGTAGCAATGTGGATAAAAAAATCTAATGGTAGGTATCTCATGGAGAATCCCCCAAGTTTATCTATAGCCTTGGGGGCTTCAATATATAACATTTATAACATTTAAAGACAGCATTTTAATTTTTAAACATAAACTTACGATTTATTGTATTGACATTCATGGACATGGACAAATTGAGAGAGAACCACATAAAAAACTGTTTAAAAAGGTACCAAATGAAATTTGATTTGATAGCGCCTCACAAATAATAAACAAACATGCATAAATCTTACCTTAAACCAAAACTAGGAACAAACAAATGTTTTTCTTCGAACACCAAAGCTGCAAGAACACAAGAGATATATTGAAAAACACTCGATAAAAACGACTTGTCAGCTGAATAGTGTGATAAACACAGCGTTGCCAAATGTCAACGGATTAATCGTAATGAATTATTAATAATAATGCAAAATTTAAGGAAGTTTTTTAAAATATTTCAATATAAGTAAAACATTCAGTATTTAGTGGACGATATTTTGTAAATATTAATCATTTGATCTATTGTATTGATTAAATTTTTTTTATACGCTTGACAACTATTAGGCAACAAATTATACATTAAATATAAATAAATGCTTCCACTTCAAGGGGCCGCATATAAATCTCGTTAAAAATGGTCAAAATTGTATTTTAAGTTAGGGTACCCTGATTGTATTTTTAAACTACAACAAAACAGTTATTCTATGCCATTTAAAAAAACACGAATGTTTATATTGGGAGGGTCCATATAATAGTATATTATGTATCAAGTGTGATAAACGCCATTTTATTCACGAATTTAATTTAGGAACGAGCGAGTGCTTAAATTAATGAGTGTATAGAAAAGTTTATAAACGAGGTGCATACTATACTTTTTCTACGACCAATACTTATTATTATCTGATGATTTAAATCAAAAATTTGTATAGAGCGACATCTATGAAACAATAGGGGAATCTGTGAGTCACCGTCAAATGTCACATTTTTATATTATAAACACAGATTATAAAGGTTATAAATAGAAATGTATTTCTTGAAAATTGCAGTTTTTTCACAGTGAACGTAAAGAAAATGTTTTATGAGGACTTTACAGTGGAGTCCGTGCCGGAATTTAAGTTATAGTTTACTGCCGGCGAAATTAAAAGGTCAGTACAATGTTCATATAAACTTTTCAAATATTGGCGTTGAGAAACTATTTAATATTTTTGTATTGAGATAATGAAATAATTGTCACATTTAGTATTATTTTACAAGAAAGGCACTTTATTTTAAAGATTGTATGACATTACTTTTTCTACTCCCACCTTTAAAACGCCCTTTATCGTACATGTTTCCATGACACTAAGTGATCTTTTAAATACACATTGACAAGTTGTGAATTTACGGCGCTTTAGTCACGGGCTGAAGTTAGCAACAGGTTTTTAGTCACGGGCTGAAGTTAGTTTTAAGTTAGTTTACAAGAAAGGCACTTTATTTTAACGTTTGACAACTGTTGTCAAATGTCATACAATCGTTAAAATAAAGTGCCTTTCTTGTAAAATAATACTAAATGTGAAAATTATTTTATTATCTCAATACAAAAATACAAAAATATTAAATAGTTTCTTAACGCCAATATTTGAAAAGTTTATTTGAACATTGTACTGACCTTTTAATTTCGCCGGCAGTAAACTATAACTTAAATTCGGGCACGGATTCCACTGTAAAGTCCTCATAAAACATTTCCTTTACTTTCACTGTGAAAAACTGTAAATTTTCAAGATACATTTCGATTTATAACCTTTATAATTGTGTTTATAAAATGTAAAAATGTGAATCTGAATGTGACATTTGACAGTTTCCTCTGTTGTTTCATAGATGGCGCTCTACACAAATTTTTGATTTAAATAATTTTAAGATAATAATAAGTATTTGTCGTAGAAAAAGTATAGTATGCACCTCGTTTATAAACTTTTCTATACACTCATTAACTTAAATTAAATTCGTGTATAAAATGGCGTTTATCAAACATGATACATAATATACTATTAATGCCGAGGTGCATATTAAATTTTACCCGAAATCAAATTTGATTTGATGATCAAATCAAATGTCATTTGAATATAGGAAGTGTCTACGTATACTGTTTGTTGCGACGGTTATTATATACATATATATGTATTTGCCCGCCGCGGCGATTTTTTAATCTAATTATAATAAAATTAACTTATTATTTTTATTAAACAACATTTTATGAAAGGGTTTAGTTGCTGCTGAAGAGCAGTAGACACATCTAAAAATGTATAATGGGTTGCATACAATACTCGTATTAAATCGGCAGTAAAGTTCTACTTTACTGCCGATTTCTTTTACTTTACTGCCGATTGTTGACTACTTTACTGCCGATTTCGGATAAAAATAATTATTTGACAGCTTTGGGACATTCAAGTTAAAATTGTGGGAGAATTACCAAAATATATACCTAAAAATTATTTAAATAACCACTATAGAATCTTTAACACCTCAAATCAGAAACTTTAGCTGGCCACATTAGTACCTTTAATCAACCATATCAGAAGTTCCATTAGAGTTAGCCTTTTCAGGGCCTTTGGTTAATTAAAGGCACGTCTATACGGTTTACGGTTGTGTTTGCTGGGATAGCTCTACAGAGGGCGTTGAAGATGTGTTTTGACATTTGTTTGATCGTTTTTATAGGGTCAACGATAGAATAATATCGGTGAACGGCATATCTCTACACAATGTAGACTACGCGACGGCAGTCCAAGTGCTTAGAGATTCAGGCGACACTGTAACCTTGGTAATCAAAAGAAGAACGTTGCAAAATCACCACGGCCACAGCGCCTCTTACTCGGGGGCGCCTTTGGCCGCATTGGGCGTTAACCCGGCACCATCCAAAGTAACCCTGACCAAAAACTCGAAGAAGGAAGATTTCGGTATCGTTTTGGGCTGCAAGTTGTTCATAAAGGAGATCTCTTCGAAAGCTAGAGATCAGCTGCTGAATTCCAACCAGGTTTTGGTGGAGGGGGACTTTATAACGAAGATAAACAACACGAACTGCAACGATTTGATGTCATTGAAGGAAGCCAAAAAGATTATTGACAGCACCAAGGATAAACTGCACGTGACTGTAGCGCGGGACTTTGGTTATAATTCGACCATATCGCACCAGACCCAGAGCTCCATAAGTACCACAGGGGCTGTAAACAACTTCTACAAAGGCGACGATTTTCTGACGTCCGGTCACCAAAGCTACTCCAATCAGAACCTCTACGTTCAACCTCCAACTAGAAACCCCAACCTGAACCAAAACGGCGGTTTCGACGACAACATCGTCAAAGATTCCAACGGCCCTACGTCTCTCCCGGATGAGAAGAGCAACTTGGCCCCCAGGGGGCGTTCCAGAGGTCCTCTGGACGCGAACATGACGCAACTGGACAACAGAAACAACATGGGAAGCTACGGAAGGTCCAAAAGCAGGGAGGAACCGCCCAGACCTCCTCCCCCAAGAGCTGAAGATTATTACAGTTCCAGGAGGCAAATCTACGACGAAGACCCCATTGTGCAGAAAACTAAACAACCCATGTAAGTAACCACTATCCCTTTCTTGCAAAAAATAAACTCCATAACCACAAAATTAATTTTTTCATCGGTTTTTTTCTTCCTGTTTACTCAGATGAAATTAGGACAAGTTCACAGGTTAAACTTTAAACATTCAATTTGTGTAAATAAATCCAAAAGCACTTCCCTTAGTTAAGATATTTGCAATCTGGGCCCATAACCTAAAATTTGAAAGAAATGCACTAGATTCTGTCATAAGTTGCCAGATTTTGTTTGAATGGGGTAGTTCAATTTTTTCTGACCTATACTTTTTATGGTTTTATTCAAGGCGTTTTGTAATATTAAACATTTCTGTGAAATCAGAATTTCAATTGGGTTTACCGTTTTCGAGATATTTACAAAAAATATAAATTTTTATGACGTCGCAAACCTCGCCATGTGACCAACATTCTAAAATTTCTATTGGTTGAAAATTACCCTGTTGTCAAGTTGTCTTGTTAATGATTTCATTCGGTTATGTCAGAAAATACCCGAAGAGGTTATGTGCAAATACTGTCACTGTCAGTTGAGTGAAAGATGGTCACCAAATTCGTACCTATCTTCCTTATTACGAGGTATCATCTTACTGTTTAATATTTTAGAGTCTAAGATATATCTAAAAGAATATAAAGAACTAGGCATTATACTAATGAAATGCATTTACGACAAAATATAATTCTTACTTTATTTGTTTAAAAGCTCCAATGTTCAATGTAACCAACCATTCCACAAGATTCCTCTGCTTTGGAGTCCGTTATTAATAAATTACTTATCTAATATCAATTACAAATAACATAACAATAACATTGATTTTCAATAATCTAAATTTAAAAAAAAACATAACCCGAAAAAAAGAAACGTCAAAAAATCAATTCTTCTTCTTCTTCTCAACTAAAATTATAGATCAACTGGTTTTAAAACTAAAATATTATAACGTGGCGCCATCTATCGTAAGAATCTTAAACTAAACACACTGGCAACCATAGAAAAAGCTGGCAACGTTGTCAATAGCCTAGTGACGTAATTAGGAGATTTTTTTTTGTAAATATCTCGAAAACGGTAAACTCAATTGCAATTCCGATTTCACAGAAATGTTTAAAATTACAAAACGCCTTGAATAAAACCATAAAAAGTATAGGTCAGAAAAAATTTAACTACCCCATTTACCTTCATTACAAAAATGACATAATCAACAATTAATAGAAACACAAATTAACAATTTTCATTGTTGATTTTGTCATTTTGTTAATTAAGCTGAATTGAAACAAAATTCGGCAACTTTTATGACTGAATATGGAAACGCTGGTTGCTACCAACCGTAACATAATAAATTAAATTAGGCAACCAGATTAGCCTAAAGTTCCTGCTTGTAGTAATAACACTATTTGCCTAGAAAAATGCGGTTCTTTTTCTTCACGAGGGAATAAGAAATTGTATAATAATTTATTAAAAACTTGAAAACATAACCTTAATAACTTACTCAAAATTTAAACTTGCTATTGCGCATAGTAAACTGATTCTTCTTCCATGCTGATAAATTATTTTTGGAAAGTTTCGATCAACCTGCATTATATGACGTGATTTTTTGATCATAGACCCGACGCAAGGTTCATCACCTTCCACAAAGAAGGTTCAGTGGGTATTAGGCTGACTGGAGGTAACTTTGTGGGAATTTTCGTGACGGCTGTGCAACCTGGAAGCCCAGCCTCCCTTCAAGGGCTTCAACCTGGAGACAAGATTCTAAAGGTACAGTAGAGGGCGCAATCCACACAACAAGGTCTGTTCTATCTCATGCTAAAAATACTAATAATCACTGCAACACTGCACAGAGTTTAACGGCGGCCATTTTTGTTGTTTACAGTTCTTGTGCTTTGGGTTTGTGCTGTTTAATAATTGTTTTAAACGTTGTGTTTCTTACAGTAAGCCTCAAATAAGGCCTTTAAGTGCCAAGGACAACCATTTTACTCCTCTTTTATAATAAATATACCTTATTCTATCAGGGCTGTCAAATGACAATTTGAAGGTTAATTTGTGGGTTATAATTTAACCTTAAAATTGACATTTGACAGTTTTATGACAGCCCTGATAGAATAAAGTTTATTTTTTACAATAGAGGAGTAAAATGGTTGTTCTTGGCACTTTAAGGGCTCTTTTAAGGCTTACTATGAGAAACACAACGTTTTAAAACGATTATTAATCTGTATAAACAGAGCACAAACCCAAAGCACAAAAATTGTAAACAACAAACAAACTGTGCAGTGTTGCAGTGATTTTTTGTATTTTTAGTACGAGATAGAACAGACCTTGTTGTGTGGATTGTGGTAGAGGGTTTATTAATCTAGAACCCTAAATAAAAAAATTGTTATAACATAACAGGTGAACGACATGGATATGAATGGAGTGACTCGTGAGGAAGCCGTTCTTTTCCTGTTAAGTTTGCAGGACCGCATCGAACTGATAGTGCAGTTTTGCAAGGAGGAGTACGACAACATTGTAGCCTCCCAAAAGGGCGACAGTTTCTACGTGAAAACTCATTTCCACTACGAAAACCCAGCTAAAGGGGAGATGTCGTTCAGATCTGGGGACACCTTCCACGTCATAGACACGCTCTACAACGGAGTTGTGGGTTGCTGGCAGGTGTTCAGAATCGGCAGGAACAACCAAGAGGTCCAGAAAGGCATAATCCCGAACAAATCGCGCGCCGAAGAGCTGGCAACCGCGCAATTCAACGCGACCAAGAAGGAGATGTCAGCGAACGAATCGCGGGGCAGTTTTTTCAAACGTCGGAGATCGTCGAACAGGCGGTCGAAAAGTTTGGGAAAAGAGCATTGGGACGACATTCTGTTCTCCGACACCGTTTCCAAGTTCCCGGCGTACGAGAGAGTTTTGTTGAAGCACCCGGGCTTCACCAGACCTGTCATTCTCTTCGGGCCCATTGCTGATGTGGCCAGGGACAAGTTGTTGAAGGACTTCCCGGATAAGTTCATATCTCCACGTAAGTTTTATTTATGTTCTTATAATGACATTCTTAAACTTATTTTTCATCTTCCTTTTCATGGCCTTGATGTTCTTAAACTGTTTTGACGATCTTAAATATGTTTTTGGCGTTTTGACGACCCAAAATATGACTTTAACGTTCTAAAAGTGTTTTAACGTTCCTAAATATAACTTTTAAATTTTAAAATATGTTTTGGCGATCCTAAATATGGTCTTGGCGTTTTGACGATCCAAAATATGATTTTAACGTTCTAAAAGTGTTTTACATTCCTAAATATAATTTTTAAATTCTAAAATGTGTTTTGACCATCTTAAACATGGTTTTGGCGTTTTGATGATCCAAAATAAAAATTTAACCTTCTTAAAGCGTTTCAACATTTCTAAATATAATTTTTAAATTCTAAAATATATTTTGACGATCTTAAAATGGCCTTGACGTTCTAAAACTGTTTTGACGATTTTAAATATGGTTTTGGCGTTTTGACGATCCAAAATATGATTTTAACGTTCTAAAAGTGTTTCGACATTCCTAAATATAATTTTTAAATTCTAAAATGTGCTTTGACGATCTTAAATATGGCCTTGACGTCACAAAACTGTTTTGACGATTTTAAATATGATTCTGGCGTTTTGACGATCCAAAATATGATTTTAACGTTCTAAAAGTGTTTTAACATTCCTAAATATAATTTTTAAATTCTAAAATGTTTTTTGGCGATCTAAAACTGTGTTTTAACTATCTTAAACATGGTCTTGGCGTTTTGATGATCCAAAATATGACTTTAACCTTCTTAAAGCTATTTAACATTTCTAAATATAATTTTTAAATTCTAAAATATATTTTGACGATCTTAAATATGGCCTTGACGTTCTAAAACTTTTTTAAAATCTTAAATATGGTTTTGGCGTTTTGACGATCCAAAATATGGTTTTAACGTTCTAAAAGTGTTCTAATATTCCTAAATATAATTTTCAAATTTTAAAATGTGTTTTGACGATCTTAAATATGGTCTTGGCGTTTTGACGATCCAAAATATGATTTTAACGTTCTAAAAGTGTTTTAACATTCCTAAATATAATTTTTAAATTCTAAAATATGTTTTGACGATCTTAGATATCGCCTTGACGTTCTAAAACTGTTATGACGATTTTAAATAGGGTCTTGGCGTTTTGACGATCCAAAATATGATTTTAACGTTTTAAAAGTGTCTTAACATTCCTAAATATATATATTTTATTTTAAAATTGGTTTTGACGATATAAATATGGCCTTGACGTTCTAAAACTGTTTTGATGATCTTAAACATGGTTTTGGCGTTTTGACGATCCAAAATATGATTTTAAAGTTCCAAAAGTGTTTTATTATTCCTAAATATAATTTTTAAATACTAAAATATGTTTTGACGATCTAAAGTATGGCCTTGACGTTCTTAAACTGTTTTGACGATCTTAAATATGGTTTTGGCGTTTTGACGATCCAAAATATGATTTTAACGTTCTAAAAGTGTTTTAACATTACTAAATATAGTTTTTAAATTCTTTAAGTTCTAAAATATGTTTTGACGATCTTAAATATGGTCTTGACGTTCTAAAAGTGCCGATCTTTAATATTGTGTTGGCGTTTTAAAAGTGTTTATATTTTTTAATTTTTAAAATGTATTTTGATGATCTTAAATATGGTCTTGGCGCTTTAAAAGTGTTTGACGATCTTAAATATGGTTTTGGGATTTTAAAAATGTTTTTATGTTCTTATAATGACGTTCTCGAACTTATTTTTCATCTTTCTTCAGAGCTAGACAACTCCTTAGACGAATCCAACAGTAAGGCACCAAAAACCTCATCCAATATCATACGTTTATCAGCTATTAGGGATGTTATTTCTACTGGAAAACATGCGTTACTGGACATAACACCAAATGCCGTGGAAAGGTTGAACTACGCGCAAATGTATCCAATTGTAGTGTTCTTTAAGGCAGATACTAAAATTGTGGTGAAGCAACTAAGGCAAGGGTTACCAAAGTAAGTTTATCTTTTGAAAAGTATGTTTGGCGTGTGATGTTTATGTTTTTGGTGATGTAGGTCGGCCCATAAGAGCTCCAAAAAGTTGTTGGAGCAGTGCCAGAAGTTGGATAAAGTCTGGAACCACGTGTTCAGCTCTACCATAACTTTAAATGATAATACTGACACTTGGTACAGGAAAGTGAGGGAGATCATTGATAAACAGCAAAGTGGGGCCTTGTGGATGAGCGAATCAAAGGTAAGTAAAGTAATATTACTCAAAATACACCAACTCAATTTACCCATAAACTAGTATCGTTCCGATGAAGTTCATTTTGAAATGAAATGGTATTTCTATTTTCTAGCTAGACACAATATACTACCCCGAGATAACTCTCAAACCTAAATCAACGAACTCTCTTCCAAATCACTATCGCCCCTCTAGAAATAGAGCTCGACGTGCACCTCTATCAATGTACAGTTCACCTCAATTCATACATCGAACGAATGTTTATAACTCTGAACCAGATCCCGTAAATTTGTTCTCTATACCAAGTCAGAGCAGTTTAACCAGTTGCACGTATCAAAATTTACAAAACAATGCAAGTACTATCGAGTGTTACGATAACAGTTTTAATTATTGCGATGATAACAACAATAACAATGCTTTATATGAGTGTATAACGCCTAAGAACGATCTCAGATACTTTCCAATATTGGAGGAAGTGTTTGGGGAGATATAATGTTTATAATGTCTTTTTAACAACCTTTACGTTAAGATAACTCCAAAATAACGTTCTAAAATGTTTTTTGACGATCCAAAATATGATTTTAATGTTCTAAAAATGTTTTAAAGTGTCCAAAATATGTTTTGACGATCTTAAGTATCGCCTTGACGTTCTAAAACTGTTTTGACGATTTTAAATATGGTTTTGGCGTTTTTACGATCCAAAATACGATTTTAACGTTCTAAAAGTGTTTTAACATTCCTTAATATAGTTTTTTAATTCTAAAATATGTTATGACGATCTTAAAATGGCCTTGACGTTCTAAAACTGTTTTGACGATTTTAAATATGGTCTTGGCGTTTTGACGATCTAAAATATGATTTTAACGTTTTAAAAGTGTTTTAACATTCCGAAATGTAATTTTTAAATTCTAAAATATGTTTTTACGATCTAAAACTGTTTTGACGATTTTAAATAAGGTTTTGGCGTTTTGACGATCCAAAATATAAGTTTAACGTTCTAAAAGTGTTTTAACATTCGTAAATATAATTTATAAATTCTAAAATATGTTTTGACGATCTTAAATATCGTTTTGACGCTCTAAAATATGATTTTAACGTTCTAAAAGCGTTTTAACATACCTAAATATAATTTTTATATTCTAAAATATGTTTTGACGATCTTAAATATGGTCTTGGCGTTTTGACGATCCAAAATATGATTTTAACGTTCTAAAAGTGATTTAACATTCCTAAATATATTTTTTTAATTCTAAAATATATTTTGACGATCTTAAATATGGCCTTGGCGATCTAAAACGGCTTGACCATCTTAAATTTGATTTTGGCGTTTTGACGATCCCAAATACGGTTTAAACGTTTTAAAAGTGTTTAAACATTTCTATATATGATTTTGACGTTCCAAAATTTGTTTTTATGATCTTAAATATGATCTTGGCGTACCAAGTCAGAGCAGTTTAACCAGTTGCAAGTACTATGATAACAATATTAACAATGCTTTATATGAGTGTATACGCCTAAGAATGATCTCAGATATAATGTTTATAATGTGTTTTTAACAGCCTTTACGTTAAGATACCTCTTACCCTATAAATTAACCGCATCCAGATATTATACATCTACATCTATGTGTTCATCGTCATTTGTATATAACTCATTTACAGCCTGAAGAATCTTTATCGGATGACTTCTTATTCCCGATGTCTTCGTTACGTTTGTCCTACGCTAGCTCTCCAGAAAGCGATCTGGAGCACAGCCCAGGTCCCAGGGAGCCATCTGGGCTATCTGGAAATAACTCCGTCACTGCTGGAAGACTGACTAAAGCCAGTTCAGACCCCAGTGTGGTGATGCCTGATAGCCCTAATGACGTTCTGCCACCTTACCAGGTAAGTTATCTGTTCACAGCAAACGGAAAATTATAGAAGTGTATAGGATGACGCCACGTTTGAATATGGTTTTCTAAATCTCCCTACGGTATAGAGTTGTATTCGTCAGTCGAGCGTTTCAATACTCTCCACAGTATAGAGGTCGTAATTTCACTTTTGAACTAGTATTAATATAAAAATTATTTTATGCTTCAAAAAAAACTATATACGACTGATTGTGATTTTTTTCATTTTATTAATTAATTAAGCTGTGTTGAATATTTTTCCTAAAGGAATAATTGCCAATGGGCCATTAATTCATTTGTTCGTAGATGCTACAATAACCTGCACTGGTGTGTACTTTTTCATCAACCAGATTTAAACATTACAAAACTAACATATACCAGTGGAGATAGTGCAGGGTCTACCAACAGACCTAATTACTAAATTATTAAAGTTTAATAGCATATCGATCATTTTTTCAACATAACCTCTAAAATTTTTAATACAAATATAGGTAATTTATATAATACATAAATATATCATATCATCTGTGCTTTACATACCTGAGTTGTTACGGTAAATAAAAATCAGACAAAGGAACCAAAGAAAGGAACTATTTTCAACAAAATCATATGCAGAAAGGAGAAAATTCAAACTACTTGCATCCATCAAAAGATCAAAACTTCTTGCAATATTACACCCTCTTTTTATACTCTCAGAAATATTGACTAGAACACTGCCGTACTAAGCGCAGAAGCGGTAATTAACATAATGGCTGTCATGAGATATTGGTACTTTTATGTTAATAGCTCTGCCAACTCAGTTTGGTAACAGACACCGCTAAAAATAACTTGATATTTCAATCATTTACTGACAAAATACCGATTTAATACCTTATTAAAGTAGAGATTTTTAACCCTAGGTTCATATTACGGAAAAATGTCAATTTCCTTTAAATGTGCAGTTACCGCTTCTGCGCTTAGGACGGCAGAACAGTATTAGAGAGACTCCAGTTTCTATAACTTGGTAGAGTAAAGAGAAGTCGAAACCGTTGCGATATTGCATTGCGCTGTTTTTGTATAATTCTCGGGGACATTAACGAAAATCATTGCCAGTAAAATTCGAAAAGATTGAGTTTCTATGTCTCTGAGGAGAATAGGAATCCGAAGTTGCTGCACCATTGGACTGAACCCTTTTTTAATAACTTCTAGAGACATAAATGACTGCACCATTCGACAGGGTCGAGTTTCTACCTCTCTGTTGAATATAGAAAATCAAAATAATGTATCTTGTAAGACACCATTGAGTTTGACTTTAAATATAGTCGTGCATAGGTATAGAGCCGAAAAATATAAAAACAAAGCACGATTCAATACAGTTATGATAAAACATTAAGATTTGATATTCAAACGCGGAGTCATCCTATACACTTCTATAACTTTCCGTTTGCTGTGTTTCTACCTTTTTTCTTCTTACTATTGATTCGTTTTTCAGCCCAACTACGACTCCCGATACGGCTTCAACGGAAACAACCCCAATCAAAACCCAGGCGAGAATCAAACCTCTCCCCCAGACACCCCTTTAACAAAAGACCCCACCTACACCCTATCCAACCCGGACTTATCCACGAGCGTCGACCAAAACATGCAGTACAACAAGAGCAGCTTGTACGCCGAAAACTACGGTAAAATGGACACAAGGAACGATTTTGGGCCTCCAAACGGGAGGGAATACAATTCCCCGGAACGTCGCAACGAATTTAACGGCAACCAGCAGCACAAGAGGCAAGGATCCAGCGTGCTGGGCCCATACAGCCATTCTAAGGTAAGTTTTCGTTCTCTTAAATACGATTTCGACGTTCTAAAATGTGTTTTGACGATCTTAAATATGATCCTGACGTTTCAAAAGTGTCTTGACGATCCAAAAGTGTTTTAACATTCCTGAATATGATTTTAAAATTCTAAAATGTGTTTTGACGATCTTAAACATGGTTTTATCGTTTTAAAAGTGTTTTGACGTTTTAAAATTGTTTTAACATTCTTAAATATGATTTTGAAATTCTAAAATGTGTTTTGGCAATCCCTAATATAGTTTTGACGTTCTTAAAGTGGTTTCATGATCCTAAATATGGTTTTGGCGTTTTAAAAGTGTTTTGACGTTCTCAAATATGGTTTTATCGTTCTAAAAATGTTTTAACATTCCTAAATATGCTTTTTAAATTATAAAACGACTTAAAATATGGTCTTGACATTCTAAAAGTGTTTTTCAATCTTAAATATGGTTTTGGCGTTTTAAAAGTGTTGACAATCCCAAATATGGTTTTAACGTTCTAAAAGTAAATGTAATGTTAATTATATACAATAAAGATGTTTATTAAAAGTATTATAATATTTCCTAAATATAACATTAAAATTCTAAAATATGTTTTGACGATCTTAAATATGGTTTTGGCATTTTGACGATCCAAAATATGATTTTAACGTTCTAAAAGTGTTTTAACATTACTAAATATAATTTCTAAGTGTGTTTTGACAATCTTAAATATGTTCTTAGCGTTCTTAAAGTGTTTTAGATATCTTAAATATGGTTTTGACATTCTAAAAATGTTTTGACGATCCCAATTATGCGTTTATTAAAAGTGTTTAGACGTTCCTAAATATAATTTTGAGATTCTAAAATGTATTTTAAATATGGCTTTGAGGTTTGAGGTTCCAAAAGTATTTTAACATTTATAAAATATAAAATTAAAATTCTAAAATATGTTTTGACGATTTTAAATATGGCCTTGACGTTCTAAAATTGTTTTGACGATCTTAAATATGGTTTTGCCGTTTTGACGTTCCCAAATATGGTTTAACGTTCTAAAAGTTTCTAAATATGATTTTGACATTCTCAAATGTGTTTTTATGATCTTAAATATAATCTTGGCATTCTGAACGTGTTTTACTGATATAGTTTTGGCGTTTTTAAAGTGTTTGACAATCCCAAATATAATATTGAGGTTCTAAAAGTGTTTTAACATTTTTAAATATGATTTTGACTTTATAAAATGTGTTTTGACGATCTTAAGGTTGTAAAAGTGTTTTGACGAACATAAATATGGTATTGGCTTTTTACAAGTGTTTGATGAAATTTGATTTTGACGTTCTAAAAGTGTTTTAATTAACATTCTTAAATACCTATAAATTTAAAATTCTAAAATATTTGACGATCTCAAATACGGTCCTGACGTTCTAAAAGTGTTTTGACATTTCTTTTATCTTGTATATGGTTTTGGCGTTTTAAAAGTATCTTGACGATCCCAAATGTGATTTTAACATTCCTATTTAAATATAATTTTTAAATTCTAAAATGTGTTTTGACGATCTTAAATATGTTCTTGGCGTTTTAAAAGTGTCTTTGACGATCTCAAATATGGTTTTGACGACCTAAAAATGTTTAAACATTTTTAAATATGATTCTAAAATGTGTTTTTATGATCTTAAATATGGTCTTAACGTTCTAAAGGAGTTTTGACGATCTTAAATATGGTTTTGGGGTTTCAAAAATGTTTATGAAGATTCCAAATATGGTTTTGACGTTCTAAAAGTGTTTTAACATTCCTAAATATGATTTTAAAATTCTAAAATATGCTTTTACGATCTTTAATATGGCCTTGACGTTCTAAAACTGTTTTGACGATCGTAAATATGGTTTTGACGATCCAAAATCTAAAAGTGTTTCAACATTCCTAAATATAATTTTTAAATTTTAAAATGTGTTTTGACGATCTTAAATATGGTTTTGACATTCTAAGAATGTTTTGACAATCCTAAATATGTTTTTGGCACTCTAAAATGTATTTAGACGATCTTAAATATGGTCTTGACGTTCTAAAAGTGTTTTGACGATCTTAATTATGGCTTTGGCGATGTAAAATAGCTTATTAACTCTGGTAATTTTAATTGAAGGCTCACAGTATAGGTGACCAGCCACCAGCAAAAGAGAACCTATACGGTACCGCTCCAGATTTGCCTCCCAGGGTAGACCGAGGTGCTAAACCTATGGGGTTGTTAACGACAACGAATAAAATACCCAACGGGCGCTCAGCCCACGAAAGATTGTTCGGTACCAAAGCTAACACAGAAGGGACAGACCAAAATGCCAATAATGAAAATGGCGGATTTAGTAATAAAGTATCATCACTAGACAGAAGCCAGAACTCGAAATCTGTAAGCATATATGCTTTACATGGTTGTGTATAAAACTAATAACATTTTTTCAGGATTCTCTATCTAGCTACGACTCCTTTAACAAGCAACAATCAAATCCCAGAATAGGGCAAAATGCGCATGACGATTTGAAAACAACTCTTTCGAAAATAGACCCGGTCCTGGGTACCAACCAAAGTAGCCCTTCAAAATACAACTCGGGGCAAAGATGGGAGCAAAATTCGCACAGGCACGGCTCTAAGATGGACTTGAAATATGGGCTTCCACCCGGTAACGACCACAATTTGGAAGGCAGTCCCAGAAACTCCAGAGAACTAGACAAAGAAGGCAGTCCCATGGACGCTATGACTCCTAGAGGTTCAGTGGAAAGAGATATGTATAGGTGAGTGTTTTTCAACGAAATTTTGTTTACGGTTTCTTCACCAAAATACACTCACGGGCAAAATTTTCGATGAATTTCAATCGCAAATAACTTTTTTATTTGTTTTCTGATTTAAACAAATATTAAAGAATATTGTAGATACATTAGTGGAGAATCGCTCACATTTTAAAAATTACTAAAAAATACACGTACGTTTATAATATACAGGTTTAAACAAAAAGATGTTTTTTACCATAAGTTTAAGACACTCTGTAGAGTCGCAAAACCGTATATTGTTCTAAATTAAGTTTTATTTATCAAGTCACATCTATTCTTAACAGTTTTGTTTTTGGTTCACCTCGATATATTTATTTTTGTGAAAAATATGGATTTTTTAAAAAAACATTGCAATTTCCAATTTTGTTCTGTATGAAGAACTAAGGTTGCTATGGTCCATCCATAGCCTATGCAGGATGACAGTGACAGTTTTGTTGAATCATCCCATACTTGGACATGTCATATACAGCTTTCAAAAGCTATGTTAATTTTGAGGTGTCTTCTTACTTTAAAAAATGTCTCCGACTGATGTTGCCCTTTGTACTTTACTTCTTGTGACGTTTAAAACACTTGCCACGTAATACTGTGACCGTCCATCCTGGATTAAATTAATGGCTCTGGCAACATCAGTCGGAGACATATCCATTTTTTAAAGTAAGAAGACACCTCAAAATTTAAACAATAATTTGCAAAAAACAATTTGATAGCTTTTGAAAGCCGTGTATGACATGTCCAAGTATGGGATGATTCAACAAAACTGTCACTGTCATTCTCCATAGCCTATGGATGGACCATAGCAACCTTAGTTCTTCATACAGAAAAATATTGGAAATTGCAATGTTTTTTTAAAAAATCCATATTTTCCACAAATATATATATATATATCGAGGTGAACCAAAAACAAAACTGTTAAGAGTAGATGTGACTTGATAAATAAAACTTAATTTAGAAGAATATACGGTTTTGCCACTCTACAGAGTGTCTTAAACTTATGGTAAAAAACATCTTTTTGTTTAAACCTGTATATTATAAACGTAGGTGTATTTTTTAGTAATTTTTTGAAATGTGAACGATTGTCCATTAATTTATCTACAATATTCTTTAATATTCGTTTAAATCCGACATCAAATAAAAACGTTATTTGCGATTGAAATACATCGTAAATTTGCGTGGATCGGTTAGTGTACTTGGACATTCTTGTTAAAGGTATCCCAGATCGCCGGCAAAGCAAGGCTTACCGCGGGAAACCAAAACGGACTACGGCAAATACAGCAGAAACAACAACATAGCCCCTCCCGAGTACACAAGGTCTTCTCACCAAGACTTGCGGGAATCCCAGCTGAGTATACACCAAGGTAGCCCCGTTAGATCCCCCCCGATGCACCTCAATGGTTACCAAGACGCCCCCCCGCAAAATGGGAACACTTATAAACCCGTACCCCCTCCGAAGCCCAAGAATTACAAGCCCCCCTACAACAAACAACAAGGTTACCCTGGGGAGGCCATGATACAGCCTCCGCTGTATCACCACGGTAAAAGCCACAGCAACCCCGTGGATCAGAGGAACCAAGGTGTAAACATGGCGCAGCACAACTACTACTACAACACCCCCCCGCATGGGTACGGGGGGTACCAAGGAGGGCACTACGACATGGCCCCCCCGTATCAGGAATCCCCCAGAAGACATCCGAGTATATCGTACGCTAGCAGGAGCGAGATAACCTCTATAAGCAACATGTCCCATCAACACGAAAATCCTTACGCCATGGACCACCATGGGGGGGACATTCTGGACTCCAGGCCTCCAGTGGTGGACTTGCAGGGCTCCAGGGAGCAACGGGGGTCGGCGTTCGAACTGTACCGGAAGCCCATTGGACACAACATGAGGTGAGTCCTTTCTCTTCCTGTTACTAAATAGAATATTTATGTTGTATGCCCTTTTAAAGGCATGTTTTATGACTAGATTGTACACTGGTTAATAATATATTTGTGTGTATAGGATACAATATATGCTGGACTTTTAAAAGTATTTATGGTATGTCTTACAAAGCTTGTGGTGTTAGTGTGTTTCTTTTTGCATGCTCCTTTCTATTCCTATGATATAACATACCTACGTGGCCTTATGCACAAACGTTGACTTAATTTTATAAAATGATTTGGCCTGATTACATTTTTGCTCATTTTGACAAACATTCAACATTCTTAATTGTGTTTTTGAGACTCAAATATGTCTTTGACAATCTTCAATATTTTTTTTACTACTATCATTTGAAATTCTAAAATATGTTTTTGATGATCTTTAACATGATTTTGACATTCTTAAATGTATACATTTAATTTATATAATTATAATTATGACAATCTTAAAAAGTTTTGACTGTCTTAAAAGTGGTTTAGATATTTTAAAATATTTTGTTGATGATCTTCAATATTATTTAGAAATTCTAAAATGTGTTTTGACTATTTTGGAATTTTAGATATCTTTCCTAAATAAGATTTAAAAATTCTAAAATGTGTTTAGGCGATCATTCTAAAAGTGTTTTTACGATCTTAAATATGCTTCTGGCATTTTAAATGTGTTCTTTTAACTGTCTGTAACATTCTTAAAAGTTTTGACTGTCTTAAAAGTGGTCTGGACGTTCCAAAAGTGTTTTGACGAAAGTGTTTTTAAGATCATAAATATGCTTCTGGCGTTTTTAAAGTGTTTTGACGACTAAAAATATGATTTTAACATTTTAAAATGTCTATTGACTATTTTCTCATTATAAAATATGTTTTTTGACTATAGATATCTTTAATATGATTTTGACATTCTAAAATGTCTTATTGACAATCTAAAAGAAACTGACTGTCTTAAAGTGGTTTAGACATTTGGAGGATTTTTTTAATATGATTTTGACTATTTTAAAATGTGTTTTGACTATTTTGGCATTTTAAAATATTTTTATTGACTATATTAAAAAAAATGATTTTGACATTCTAAAATATGTTGTTAACAATCTAAAAATAATTTGACCGTCTTAAAAGGGGTTTGGACAATTTAAAATAGAGTTTTGATGTATTTTAATTTGATTTTGACAATCTAAAATGTGTTATGACGATGTTTAATTTTTGGCATTCTGGAATGTGTTTTTGTCATTTTAAAATTCGATTTCATTTTTCTAATGTTTTTCTTAAAACCTAAAATATGTTTTTAACAATATTTAATATGACTTTGACATTCTAAAATTTGTTTTTGACAATCTAAAAAAATAAATTGACAGTCTTAAAAGTGGTTTAGACGTTTGTAACTAAGTGTTTTGACTATTTTATCAATTTAAAATTTGTTTTTGATTTTAAAGTAGTTTTGTCATTTAAAATTTACTTTTTGACTTTAGCTATCTTTTTGACATTCTAAAATATGTTTTTGACAATCTGTTTAGACATTTTATAATATGTTTTTTGACATTTTATAATATGATTTTGACATTCTAAAATTTGTTTTTGACAATTTGAAATAAAATGGTCTGTCCTAAAAGTAGTAGTAGTCATTTTAAAATATGTTTTGGTAATATTTAAAATTATTTTGACATTCTTAAATGTGTTTTGACTATTTTGATATTTTAAAATGTTTTTTAACTTTATACATATATATTATATAATTTGACTATAGCTATCTTTAATATGATTTTGAAAAAAATTGACTTTTATATTATAACTGTGTTTTGACTATTTTGTAATTTTTAAATATGTTTATTGACCAAATTTTAAACCATGATTTTGACATTCTACCATGTGTTTTTAACAATCTGAAAATAATTTGACAGTCTTAAAAGTGGTTTAGACAATTTAAAAAAGGTTTTTGATGTTTTTTAATATGATTTTGACACTCTAAAATGTGTTTTGACGATGTTTAATGTGGTTTTGCATTTCTATTAGGTTTTTGGCATTCTGGAATGTGTTTTTGTCATTTTAAAAAACTTTCTATTTTTTCTATTTTTGACTTCTGAAATTTGTTTTGATATTACTGAAACCTAAAATATTTTTTTAACAATATTTAATATGATTTTGACATTCTAAAATGTATTTTTAATAATCTAAAAAAAATTACAGTGTTACATTTGTAAATATGTTTTTTGACATTCTTAAGTGGGTTTTGACTATTTTAGTATTTTAAAATGTTTTTTGCCATTTAAAAATTTATTTTTTGACTCTAGCTATCTTTTTGGCATTCTAAAATATGTTTTAATATGATTTTGACATTCTAATATGTGTTATTGACAATAAAAAAACTGACTGATTTTTAATATGATTTTGACATTTTAAAATGTTTTATTGACAATCAAAATGTGTTTTGACTATTTTGGCATTTAAAATAGGTTTTTGATGTTATTTAATATGATTTTGATAATCTTAAATGTGTTTTGACAATGTTTAATGTGGTTTTGCATTCTGGAATGTGTTTAATTTTTTTATATTTTTGACTTTTGAAATCTGTCTTAATATTCTGAAAATCTAAAATATGCTTTTAACAATATTTAATATGATTTTAACATTTTAAAATGTGTTTTGAAGATCTTTAAAGTTGTTTTGACGTATTAAAATATATTCATAGGCTCCATACACATGATTATATCAACGTTTGTGCATGCGGCCAAAAGACTCTAAGTCAAGTTTTCTCGTTTTTTAAAGGGTCCACCAGCCAGACTGCTACGGTTCACAACCTAACATAAACCAAGCACTAACAAACTCCCCAAAAACAAAACCCAAACTAACCAAAACGCAATCCTTCAAACAATGCAAAAGCGAGGGCTTCAGCACCCCGAAATTCCTACGCAAATTATCCTTTAGAAGAAACAAAAAAGAGAAAGATAAGGAAAAAGAATCGACCCCGAAAATGACGAAAAAAATGCAGCAACAAAACGATTTAAATGCTAGAGCGAACGAACCTAAAATGGTCATGTTCAGCGACTTAAATCAGCATGAGCATGAGAGTATGTACAGTGATCGCAAGAGTTTGTATTTGCCTAAAAATAAAATATACCAGGACAGGGAATCGTTATATAGCGAAAGGCAAAAGTTGTATCAAAATAAAGAGTCGGTATATCAAGATAGAGAGTCGTTGTATCAAGACAAATTGAAGATATATCAAGACCGCGAATCGCTGTATCAAGAGAGGTTGAAATTGTATCCGGATAAGTCCAGTATTTATCAGGATAGAATCACTGTAATTCAGGAAAAGCAGAGGTTGTATGAAAGACATTATCCTGACAAGAAGGTGCTGTATCAAGACCTCAAAAAGGCTAGAGAGGAAGCGGATAGACTGAATCAAAACAAGAAAATTTATCAGGATTTTAAGGAGGTTAAAGAGGAGGCTGTCAGGGCTCAGCTGCAGAGAAATAACAGCTTTCGAGAGAGGATGTATCAATCTTTCAGAGAAGTGAAAAGAACCCCGGAAAACAACAGAATATACCAAAGCCTGCGACAAGTCAGACATGACATACACAACCTACAAGACAACCAAAGAATCTACGACGACTTCCTGCGATTGAGAACGGAAGTTAAGAAGTTGCAAAACCCCGAAACAGTAGACCAAAACAAAAACCCCAAGGAGTCAGACCAGCAACTCTACCAAGACTTCAAAAAACTCAAGCTGGAAGTGGAAAAACTCAAAAACCCTGTGGACACAGTCCACGACCTCAAGCACTTCACAAAGGCGAGCAAGCGCGACATAACTTCAGCCTACGTTTCCGACAGTGGTGCCAAGTTGACGAACCAGTACTGGGGGGTCACGCTGGAAATACCCGAGGGCGCCATACCCAAAGGGGAGTCCAGAGAGATTTACTTTGTGGTCTCGGACCCGAGACTCTGTAACAACGGAAACTCCTCGAACGCTCCCCCATTGGACCTGGAAAATGGTAAATAAAAACGAAGATAGAACCAAAAAAAGTTCCCGAGTTACTTATGAAGACTTTTACAGCTATATACAGGGGTTTTATTAACATGTATACATAGGTTATGGGAACATTTTTTGGTGCTCATCAGTACATAGCTTACTAACCTTAACACCTTTAATAACCAGTGTACAACAAAATACGGCAACATTGTATAACTTTTTTTTGCTTTTTCTATAGGTGAGACCATGCTGTCACCTCTAGTTATGTGCGGGCCACAAGGTATGTAAAATAATTGCTATAAAATAAAAATAAAATAACAACAAAAACTTTAGGTACCGAGTTTCTGAAACCGGTGATTCTCAACATCCCCCACTACGCCAACACGTTGCCAAGTTTGGCGATATCGCTCAAGGCCACCGACTCCGAACAAGAACTCAACACGGACTGGGACAACATTTTGTTGCCTAGCAACCACGCGGCCAACAGTGTTGCCGTCAAGGTGGATCATTTTTAAGTTGCTCATATTTTTTTTTATTTTGGATTACGACTGAAATTTTTTGTATACTTTTGTTTATAGTAGGTTTGTAAGACATTGCAATTTATTTGTGATTTATATTTGTAAGTTTTAAGTATATTATGTATAATCATATTGTAATCTAATAATGTATAAGATTTAATAAATATTATTAAAAAATAGATTTTTTGTGTTTTTGACATTTCCGTTTGTTTTTTACATAAAATGTGATTTTGACATTCTTAAACATGATTTTTGGCATTCAAAATTTGTTTTGTTACACTTTAATATGTTTTGACTGTCTGAAATTTCAGTCAAACTTGACATTCTTAAGGTTTTTAAAACAGAATTTATTTTGACCATTACAAAATGTGTTTTGACATTTTTAAATATAGGTTATAAACATACCTACACATTTTAAAATTTGTTTTTGACTGTCTAAAATGTGTCTTTGACAATCCTTTAGCTTTCCTAAATAATTTATTTTGGCCATTTTAAAATGTTTTGACATTCTTAAATAAAAAAACATTGACATTTTGAAATTTGTTTTTGACTACCTATGTTTGAAAATTCCTAGATATGGCTTAACATTTTAAAACATATTTGACATTCTTATGACTTTGACATTTTATTTTTGACTGTCTAAGACAATGTTTAGACACATTTTGTGTCAAAATACTAATTTAAAAATGTCAAACCAATTAAAGTATTCTTTATAAAACACAATTTGGAATGTCAAGACACATTTTAGAATGTCAAAATCACATCCAAATTTGGATTTACTGCAATGTGATTTTGACATAATAAAATGTGTTTTGACATTTTTAAATTGGTTTTTTGACCCAAAATGTGTCTCACACATACTAAAATGTGTTTTGCCCATTCCAAAATGTGTTTTGACATTTTAAAATATATTTTGACATTCTTACATTTGTTTTATAAACATGGACAATTTAAAATTTGTTTTTGACTGTCTAAAATGTCTGATTAGTAACTATTAGCATTCCTAAATATGGCTTGACATTTATTTGATATTTTAAAATGTGTTTTGACATTCTAAAATATGGTTTTGACATTTTAAAATTTATTTTTGACTGTCCAAGACATAATTTGATTTTTTAACATTCTAAAATGTGTTTTTTAACAGAATTGTTTTGGCCATTACAAAATGTGTTTTGACACTCTTAAATATGGCGTATAAAGATAAAAATTTTAAAATTTCTTTTTGACTGTCTAAAATGTGTCTTTGACAACCCTTTAGCTTTCATAAATAATGTATATAATTTTTTTTGACACTCTTAAAAATGGTTTATGATCATGGTCATTTTAAAATTTGTTTTTGTCTTTCTAAAATGTGTGATTGACATTTTTCTAGCATTCCAAAATATGGCTTGACATTTATTTGACATTCTAAAATGTGTTTTGACATTCTAAAATATGGTTTTGACATTTTAAAGTTTATTTTTGACTGTCCAAGACATAATTTGATTTTGACATTCTAAAATGTGTTTTGACAATTTGCCATTTCTAAGAATGGCTTGACATTTTAAATTTGATACATTACATCTCACATGAGTTGTTTATTTCTTTTTATTTAAAAACAGTAGGTATAAAAAATACGTGTAAATAATAATATTAACCAATCATTTTATTCTTTGCATCTTTATTGACGAATTTGATGCAATTTTTCCAACTTCTATCCATATCATCGTGTTTATCCAGAAATTTGACAATTTTCTCACCGTATTTGTCGGGATTATTAATATGCTCAAAATGACACCCATCGACCAAATGAAACTGACAATCTTTACTAAACTTTTGGTTAACCTCCAAGACTTCTTTATAGTATTTCGGGTTCTCCCAGTAATTTTCATCATTACATTTGCCTATGAAGATTGGAAAACTCATGTTTTGTGCATATTTAATGGACTCGTTTTGGGGGAAGTTCCAAAAACCATGGCACTTAACCCTGGAATCCACACCAAAGTAAAATTTGCCTTTAATATTTTTGGATGTCACCAAATTTCTATCCAGGATATAGTGCACCAATTGTGGATGTATTCCCAACTTTATATACCTCAACTTCAACTCCAAATACGTATAACATCTGGGTTCCACACCACTACGATTGATAGCATCGTACTTAAAAAATTGCTTTATCGCATTGGCCATACATCTATCATTATTCTCCCTAATGGGAGGCTTTATTGTCTCCAGACATATCAAATAGTCAACTTTTTCGGGAAACAACATAGAATACATATAAGCCACACCACTTCCTAAGGAATGACCCATCAATGATACCTTTGACCATTGGAATTGCTCTATCAAGTAGAACACAGTAAAGACGTAATCTTTGTAGTCATAATACATTGAGTTCGGGAATCTGGATGAGAGACCATGTCCAGGAAAGTCTATGGATAGAAAGCTGGTTTCGTGTTTATTTATATTTGATATGAGACGTTCCATGGAACCGCAATTGTCCTAAAAAAAGCATTTTAAAGTGTTTTTGACAAACTTAAATGTTTGAGGCTCAAGCTTTATTAAATATGCTTTAGCAATCTTTAATATGATTTTGACTATCCAAAATGATTTGATGATTTGGTTATAGAATCATATTATTATGATTTTAACAACCCAAAAAGTCTTCAATGTGGTTTTACAATCATTATGTGGTTTGACAATAGTCAAAACACATTTTTGAGGGTCAAAAAATATTTTAAAACGTCAAAACCAAAAAGTGTTTTGACGATCTTCAATGTGGTTTTAGGATCATCAAAAGTGGTTTTGACTATAGTCAAAACACATTTTTCATAGTCAGAACATATTTTAAAATGCCAAAATCACTTTGATGATCCTAAAAGCACATTAAAGATTGTCAAAATCATATTGAAACAATCCAAAATATGTTTGACGATCTCAATGTGGTCTTGGGATCATTCAAGTGGTATTGACCATGGTCAAAACACATTTTGATGCTCAAAAAATATTTTAAAACGTCAAAACCAAAAAGTGTTTTGGCGATCTTTATTGTGGTTTTAGGATCATCAAAAGTGGTTTTGACTATAGTCAAAACACATTTTTACTGTCAAAATATATTTAAAAATGCCAAAACCACATTGATGATCCTAAAAGCATATTAAAGATAGTCAAAACACTTTTTGGATTGTCAAAATCAAATTGGTACAATCCTTAATGTGGTTTTTGGATCATTTTGATAGTCAAAACATATTTTAAAATATCAAAACCACTTTGATGATCCTAAAACCACATTTAACACTTTTGGGTTGTCAAAATCATATTCAAGATGTATCTTGTATGTTTTTGACATTAAAATGTTGAGAAATATAAAAATTTCCAAAATCCAAAATGTTTTTTTGGAAATAGTAGGCTTACCATCCAACCATGGAGGGTTAAAATGGGTCTTTTATTGACAGGCCCATACCATTTTCCAGCCACAAACCCCCATGGAACTTCAATTCGCACTTCACGCCCATAAATATATTTCAGATGTTCCAAAGTGTGTTTGGCATATTTACAAAAAACAAAATTTTTGAAGACCATGTTTGTGTGGGTAAGTTCTTCTTAAAAACAAAACAATATATAACTTTTATTTTTGTTTTTTTATCTTATCTTTATTACTTATTTATTTAAAAGAAATTATAATTTTTGAATATTATTTACTTCTATAAGATATGTAAAAATATGTATGTATGACTAAAAATACTTACGTTTATAACAAAGTCTTGCACTTAACTGAAATTTAAGTCAAATTGCATAATATTTATAAAAATATTATAATTTTTTATTTGGGGTAATTTTAGTGTAACAAGGTCTACAAGTTCGTAAATAAAAATCAATTAAATTTATAAATTAATGCATTTTATTCATCTGTTTTTGACACAAGTTCAGAAATATATATTTAAGAAATAAAATGTGTATATTTTTTACAAGAAGTATATAATACACACAATACTTATAATCTATATACTTATGATTTAAAAAGTTTCAACAATGCATCATTTTTACATATTTTGATTGAGATCACAAAATATATAATTATTTCAACAAATTTATAACAACTTATCCTCATTATATGTAATATGTCAATACAGTTCGTAATATATATTAAAAAGTATTGCTAATTTTGTACACAGGAGATCCAAAGTACCTTGACAAATTTAGAAGTTAAATAAAAAATATATATATGTACCCCACTTATTTTTTAATGACGTAGATTCCTAAAAAACATATTTACGAATTTATCTTCAAAACAAAGCATTAACCAAAAAAATACATAGAGACAAATTTTGTAGAAAATTAAAAAATCTACAAAATAACCCCTTCAAAAATTTAAAATATCAGTGGCGTACATATATTTTTAACCAATTTAATAGTAGCATAAAAATTCTCTCAAAATGTATCAATATACTTCTAAATCTCCTTGTATACTTATTAATGGCAGTTTATTAAAAATTCTAGGAACAATTTAGAACAAAAAATTTCGTAAAGAACCATATTAACACATCGATTTTTAAAGCTGCCAAATTTATACAAAAAAGCGAACAAAAAATCACAAAAAAACTGTGAAACAAATACTGAAATCAAAAAAAGGTAATATCACATTATTTTCATTTAAAAGAAAATATAAAAATATCTATATAAAATTTAACAAAATAATAAGCAAAACAAAAAAAAGCCGAGAAATCATTTGTCATCATTCTATTGAATTTAAAATTGTATCAATAGCCAGGTCGGGTGTTTTTTGAAAATATCTGGCTTCCTATTGGTGGACCGAAAAAAATGTCTACAAAGAAAATGTGTAGTTTTTAATTCTCTACGATAAAGATAAATACATTTTTTTTGTAAAACTCATAGTTAAGAAAATATTCTATAAAAACGTTTTTACTTACAATTTGTATATATCTTTTAAGTGCTATACTTCTTAAACAGTAAGTAATACATACAAAATCATGTAAACTTTTTTGTAGAGAATTAACAGACCTACAATTTTGGTTATATAACATTTTGGTTTTAAACCCATACAAAGCCAGATATTTGCAAATATATAAAAAATTCCAATGACTTAGCTATGTTGCGTCCTGCGCCTAAATAATTGATTGTATTCGTCGTAAATACCTGAGAATTCAAATATTTGGTCATATAAAAAATACAATTTTAAATTCAACCTCACATTCACACATTTTTAAAACTCTATATATAATATTGATGCCATGCATCATTATTTTGTACTTTTGTAAAACCAATCACTATATAAAACAATTTAAATAATAATAATATTAACAATTAAATAAAAAACTACAGAGTGTCGGACACTCATAAATATATTGCGTATTTACAAAAGCCTTTAAAAATAAAATCTCTAAACACTATGACTAAATATAATTAGTACGCCAGTTCTTACTATTTTACAATATTTACAGAAAATACTTATTTAATGGGGGATTTAATTTTGAGATATCTCAGAAACTATTGAGTTTACAGAAAAAAGTATAGAATACAAAATACAGAACATTTAATAATCTACAAAAATCGTTATTACAACTTTTCGCATACAATTACCATACAATGAAATATTTTACAATTTCATTTTTGGCAACAAAAAATACTTTTTCTTAAATATCTGACGTTCCAACAATTTTACGAAAAAACGTGTAATAGAATTTTTGTAGGGAATTCCATTCTGCATATTTTTTATTTTCAACAATTTCGTGCAAAATCAATCCTTTTGGAGATATCAACAATATTCAACAAAGTTTAAATTTCCTTAAATCACTTTAAACGTTTTATGGATTTAATTTTAAGATATCTCGGAAAATATAGTTTACAGAAAAAAGTATGAAATAAAAAATATAGAACGTTTGATAATCTACAAAAATCGTTATTACAACTTTTCGCATACAATTACCAGGAAATGAAATATTTTACATTTCATTTTTGGCAACAAAAAATACGTATTCTTAAATATCAGATGTTCCAACAATTTTACGAAAAAACGTGTAATAGAATTTTTGTAGGGAATTCAATTCTGCATATTTTTTATTTTCAACAATTTCGTGTAAAATCAGTCCTTTTAGAGATATCAACAATATTCAACAAAGTTTAAATTTCCTTAAATCACATTTAAATAAACGTTTCATGGATTTAATTTTAAGATATCTCGGAAAATATTAAGTTTACAGAAAAAAGTATGAAATAAAAAATATAGAACGTTTGATAATCTACAAAAATCGTTATTACAACTTTTCGCATACAATTACCAGAAAATGAAATATTTTACATTTCATTTTTGGCAACAAAATAAATATCTGACGTTCCAACAATTTTATGAGGAAACGTGTAATAACATTTTTGTAGGGAATTCCATTCTGCATATTTTTTATTTTCAACAATTTCGTGTAAAATCAATCCTTTTGGAGATATCAACAATATTCAACAAAGTTTAAATTTCCTTAAATCACTTTAAACGTTTTATGGATTTAATTTTAAGATATCTCGGAAAATATTAAGTTTACAGAAAAAAGTATGAAATAAAAAATATAGAACGTTTGATAATCTACATAAATCGTTATTACAACTTTTCGCATACAATTACCAGAAAATGAAATATTTTACATTTCATTTTTGGCAACAAAATAAATATCTGACGTTCCAACAATTTTATGAAGAAACGTGTAATAACATTTTTGTAGGGAATTCGATTGTGCATATTTTTTATTTTCAACAATTTCGTGTAAAATAAATATATCAACAATATTCCTTAAATCACGTTTGAACGTTTTTTTTGCATTAATAATTAACATTTTTGACTATGACAGATCAAATGCTTGTCTTTTCCAGCACTATCACACTTTGCGGGGGCGCATCCGCCATTTTTTCGTCCATCGCATCCGCCATTTTATCATCGACGTTTTCCTCGACTTTGGGTTTTTGAATAGGGGCGATTACATCGTTTTTGTCGCTTTCGATGTTATTGTTGTTGGTGCATACGTCCTTTTTGCGTAACTCCTGAAGTTCCGCGATAAGTTCCGCGTTTTTTATTTGAAGGTCGTTGATGAGGTTGTCTTTGTTTCGCAGTTGCTTGTTGAAGTGCTGGAAGAAGTCCATTATTTTCGATCGTAAACCGTTTTCGACACCTGTTAGGACGTCTTCAATTTTGGCGGGAGTTTTTTCCGATGTTTCCGAAGCACTGTCTTCCGTATCGGTTGAGAGTTCGATTTCGGGGTTGTATTTCTGCACCTTTTGTATTACTTGGATCTCCTCTGGTGATCGGATGGGCTCTTCTTTGACCTTCACTTCCTCTTTGATAACAACCGGTTCGGTCTTGATTTTGTTGTTGAAGTACTCCCGACACTTCCCATACCTAAACTTCTTGGGCGTGGGCGGAGCCAGGGCTACATTGGGCTGAAAACTACCCCCGAACCTTTCCGACTCGCTGTGCCTTACAACCCTCTCAGGATTTTGCAAAGTGGGCGCATCCACATACGTGTTTATACCCAAAGCATTCGCATGCCGTATTTTCGATTCTTTGATCGTTTGACTCACGGGTTTGAAAGCTGATATATGCCGTGTGTTGCTGAACTCGTGCAAGTAATTTTGGATGTACTGCGGATCCAAGGTGGCGTAGATTTGGTGGAGGTAGGAGTGCGGTTGCATTTTGTACGGCAGACTCATGTACTCCTCCAATTTCTGCTTCTTGAACGGAAGGTCCTTTATCAAATCCGACGCCAGTATCTGAAACAACGGAAATATGTTATTTTCCGAATCTTGCATCCTCAAGTAATTAATATTCACCCTGCTTTGTCAATCAAACCCTTTTATTCTTCAAAATGAATATATTAATTGTTAATAGCCAGACTCACATCTACCCATTGTCAATTTTTAACCCTACATAGTTTAAAGTGTTTACAAAACCTAATTATTAACGGACAAACATACTTATGCGCACAAAGAAACGTTATATAAAACCTGGGGTTCTTCTAATAAGGGTGTAATTTTGATGAAACAATGAATTGAGATGTCCAAGTACAAAAATCGTGATATCTTTGCTGTTTTAAGTATTAAGCGGGCGCCAATGCATTAAAAGTGGTTTATCTCATAAACCACTTGATTTAAAATCTTAAAGTTTAGTGAACATTTAAAAAACCGTATTTTTTATGACATATCAAAAATTCAACATTCTAAGTCTACTAGATTTTGAGTAAGGCGTTATAAACATTAACTGGGCGCCAAATCGTCAAAAGTTGTATATCTCATAAACTACTAGACTTGAAATATTAAAATTTGACGTACACGAAAAAACAACATTCTTTACATCATACTCAAAATTTGACATTACCATATTTACTAGATTTCGAGCTATAGGCATTTTAAATATTAAGTGGGCGCCAATACATTAAAAGTTGTTTATCTCATAAACCACTTCATTTAAAATGTCAAAGTTTGTTGTACATTTAAAAAAATGTATTTTTTATGACATATCCAAAATTCAACATTCTAAGTCTACTAGATTTTGAGTAAGGCGTTATAAACATTAACTGGGCGCCGAATCGTCAAAAGTTGTATATCGTATAAACTACTAGACTTAAAATGTTAAAATTTGACGTACACGAAAAAACAACATTTTTTACATCATACTCAAAATTTGACATCCCCATATTTACTAGGTTTTGAGCTATAGGCTTTTAAATATTAAGTGGGCGCCAATACATTAAAAGTGGTTTATCTCATAAACCACTTGATTTAAAATGTTACAGTTTAGTGTACATTTAAAAAACTATATTTTTTATGACACATCTAAAATTCAACATTCCAAGTCTACTAGATTTTGAGTAAGGCGTTATAAATGTTAACTGGGCGCCGAATTATAAAAAGTTGTATACCTCATGAACTACTAGACTTAAAATTTGACGTACACGAAAAAACATTTTTCTTTACATCATACTCAAAATTTGACATCCCCAGATTTACTAGATTTCGAGCTAGAGACATTTAAAGTATTAAGTGGGCGCCAATACATTAAAAGTGTTTTATCTCATAAACCACTTGATTTAAAATGTTAAAGTTTGGTGTACATTCAAAAAACTGTATTTTTTATGACACATCCAAAATTCAACATTCTAAGTCTACTGGATTTCAAGTAAGGCGTTATAAAGTTAAGTGGGCGCCGAATCATCAAAAGTTGTATATCTCATAAACTACAAGACTTAAAATGTTAAAATTTAACGTACACGTAAAAACATTATTCTTTACAACTTACTCAAAATTTGACATCCCTAGATTTACTAGATTTTGGGCTATAGGCATTTTAAGTATTAAGTGGGCGTTAATACATTAAAAGTGGATTATCTCATAAACCTCTTGATTTAAAATGTTAAAGTTTGGTGTACATTCAAAAAACTGTATTTTTTATGACATATCCAAAATTCAACATTCTAAGTCTACTGGATTTTAAGTAAGGCGTTATAAATGTTAACTGAGCGCCAAATCATCAGTTGTATACCTCATAAACTACTAGACTTAAAATATTAAAATTTGACGTACACGGAAAAACATAATTCTTTACATCATACTTAAAATTTGACATCTCTAGATTTACTAGATTTTGAGCTATAGGCATTTTAAGTATTAAGTGGGCGCCAATACATTAAAAGTGGTTTATCTCATAAACCACTTAATAAAAAATATAAAAAATTGTTGTTCACATAAGGAGATAGGAGATACACCGTATTTAAATTTAAACGTTTGGGCGCCAATTCGTAAAAATCTTCTCACAGTCCAGAAAACTTAATAGGCGTTACTAAAATCGCCAACAAAGAGTTTTTTAAACCATTAAACATGAAATAATCCGTTTTTTTTTTTCATATGATAATATTAAATATCATATCTTACAAAGGGGTTGAATATAAAAAGACATAACTCGAAATATTTTATTGCCAAGGGTTAAAAATATAATCTCTCACTTTACAGGGGGTGAAATAAAGAAATAATCACAATAATATGACGTTACGCGGATTTGTCCGGTTTTGAAACTCAACGTACATAACAAGCAAAGGTCAGAAGTAAGAATATTTCATTTTAATAATGTATATTTACAACAAGCTCTATTTTTAGATTCAAGTACTTTGAACTCTAGCAATGAGTTTAAACGCATTTAATTGGCAATTTTCAGAACAAGCCACCCCCGATGAGCACGAAATATATATACATCGATCGTCTTTTTTTTCCTTAAGCGTGAATTGCCAGATCACGCGTGAATGTGCTGAAACGCCAACCCGAGGCGATAAAGTCGGAAAAAAACCGTAAAAAAGTTGACAATAGAGCTGCCGCTTTGCTTTATTGCCTTTCGAGCCGTTTTTATCAAGAAAATGCCTTTGGGCATTTTTATTTGCGACGAAAAAAAAAAGACGTGTGTTTGGTAGGTTTTAGGGCGTTTTGAACACCCTGTATATTGTTTATATGTGACTTCGTATACTGTATATTATAGAAAATTCATTTTTCTACAGTATGGTGAAAAAATAATACCGATATCTTTAATTGTTCCAAAGATGTATACATTTTAAGAAAGCATTGTTTAAAATAAAAAGATTGCAAAATATGAGTATTTTTAAATGACTCTAATTGTTTAAAAAGTTGACCGATTTTAAAAAATAATACACCAAAAGACGTGAAATGTATTCTAGTTTCCGAAAATTATAGCAAAATAAAACAAAAACAAACAGAAAGTCCCCAAAATCACCTCAAAAAAACACATGTCAATATTTTTCAACAATAAATCACAACAACTAGTAGTGTCAACTTTCTTTGTGCCAAAAGGTCACACACTCGTGTGCAACGTGACAAAAAAATTTAACCAACCCTTCCCGGTGAAAAAGCAATCACTTTGAAGCTATTAAAGAAATTAACACCATAAAAAACCAGGGGGGTGAATGGAAAAAGGGTTGGGATGGGGGAATGTAGACAAAGAACGAAACTTTGAATGGCTATATCTAGGAATTCTGATGTGATAAAAATATGAAATTCGGTGTGGGTTTAGAGGTTGTTATCAGGATTAATATATCCAAAATTTACTAATGTAGATTAAATGGTTTTCGAGATATGCACGTTTATAAAAACAGTGGGCGCCATTCTAGAAAAACGGCTCTATCTTTAAATTCCACAAAGATATTTATACGAAATTTGGTGTGTATTGAAATGTGGTTATTTAGTATAACATATCCAAAAATCAAATACCTAGGTTTAATGGTTTTTAAGATATTAAAAAAAACGTTGGGAGTCAAAATATAAAAATCATAAATTCTGTAGATTTCGCAATATTTCTGTATTCTATCGTCTTGAACCCTTTAGGCGGGTTACTTGCTACCCCTGCACTTACATCCCTCGTGCTGCAAAGTGCGTAGAGGGTGCGTATAATATAAAATAGGTCAGCGGGGTAAAAATTGCAATTAAAAATATACGCCATGTACGTATACAGTACGATGTACTTTACGTATATGGGGTTGAATTATGAACATCTGTGTTCGTATATCTGCTTTTTGTTTTAACTTACTGACAGAATGAATAATCTGCAAGGCCTTGGATTAATTTTTACCGTCTTTGTTCGCGATCTTTTGTTTTCCCTTCTTTTATATTGTGCGTAAGCTGCAAAAAACTTAAGGAGATGTAAATAAAAAAATAATAATAGCTATGAGATTTTTACGCATAAATAATAATCTGATGTTGAAAGGTTTAGGCTTTACGGTGGATGCGCTAAAACTTCTCAGTCTATTATTAAAAAACATTAAAAGTGGTTTATTATTTATTTTTTATGACATATCCAAAATTCAACATTGTAAGTCTACTTGATTTCAAGAAAGGCGTTATAAATGTTAACTGGGCGCCGAATCATCAAAACTTGTATATCTCCCAAACTACTAGACCTAAAATGTTAAAATTTAACGTACACGGAAAAACATTATTCTTTACATCATACTCAAAATTTGACATCCCAAGATTAACTAGATTTTGAGCTATAAGCATTTTAAGTATTAAGTGGGCGCCAATACATTAAAAGTGGTTTATCTCATAAACCACTTGATTTAAAATGTTAAAGTTTGGTATACATTTAAAAAACTGTATTTTTTATGACATATCCAAAATTCAACATTCTACTAGATTTCGATTAATTAAGACGTTATAAATGTTAACTGGGAGCCGAATCATCAAAAGTTGTATATCTCATAAGCTACTAGACTTAAAATGTTAAAATTTGACGTACACAGAAAAACATTATTCTTTTAATCATACTCAAAATTTGACATCCCTAGATTGACTAGATTTTGAGCTATAGGCATTTTAAGAATTAAGAGGGCGCCAAAACATTAAAAGTGGTTTATCTCATAAACCACTTGATAAAAAATATAAAAAATTGTTTTTCACATAAAATTAGTTGACCTTTATAACACAGCAAAATTTCATAAAAAAATCCTATGTACTTCAGGAGATACACCGTATTTAAATTTAAAAGTTTGGGCGCCAATTCGTAAAAATCTTCTCACAGTCCAGAAAACTTAATAGGCGTTACTAAAATCGCAGTGGATGAGCTAAAACTACCCAATGTATTATAAAAAATTAAAATGAACATGTTGAAAATTTATTAAGTTAAAAAAGTTCCATTAAGCACACAGACGCGTCTGGTAATTCGGGGGCGGGTAGACGCTTGGGGTGGGGGTGGCAAGCCAAAAAACAAACGCTGC